TATTGGTACAATCAACTGCAAAGTCCCTGAACCTCTGAAAGAAAGATGCATTGTTTATTTATTTATTTTTTTTTTTTTTTTTTTTTGAGAGCATGCAAGTGGGGAGAGGGTCCGAGATTGGGGGTGGGGAGTGGGAGAGAGAGAATCCCAAGCAGGCTCTGCACTGTCAGCATGGAGCCTAATGTGGGGCTCAGACTCACAAAGCCATTAATTACATCATGACATGAGATGAAGTTGGACACTTAACCCACTGAGCCACCCAGGCACCCCTGCATTGCTTTTTTTTTTTAAATAAAATGGTGTAAACTGGGCCATGATTAGTCACCAAACCTGATAGACTTAACTTTCTTGTTTGTTGGCATCTCACATTATATATGGTAATTACAGTCACATCCAGGAAAAGAGGGGGTGGTTTGTACGGCAACGATTATAAACTCAAGTGCTGGCTTATTTGTGATTCAGCATTCGGGAGGCATCTGCTCCTTGGAGGATGTGACACTTGGTCCACAGAACCCTCACATGTGTCATGTGTTGTCCCTCAGTGAAGAGCACCCCCGTGGTTCTTTTCCTAGGAGTTAACCACAGTAAACGCATTCCAGGCTTTAGCAGAAGAGCTCATTCTAAAGGGCTTGGGTTTTAACCATTTAAAATGTTTTATTATGCTTCTCACTTCAACACACAGTGAATATTGCACACTTTTGTTTTGCACAATTATATTCAATTATGATATTTTTTAATGTTTGTTTATTTTGAGAGAGCACAAGCAGGAAAGGGGCAGGGCGGGGGGGGGGGGGGGGGGGGGGGGGGGGGGGGAAGAGAAAATACCAAGCAGGCTCTGTGCTGCCAATGCTGAGCTCCACTCAGGACTCGATCTCACCAACTGTGTGATCATGCCCTAAGTCGAAATCAACAGTCAGATGCTTAACGACGGAGCCATCCAGGTGACCCTCAATTATCATATTTTAACAAGACATTATTTATGACTCTAACTGGGTTGCTAATGGTTTTTCACTGTTAACAGTAAAGCCAATAATTAGAGACACATCCTTTAAAGATACTTAGATACTCAGAGATCTAGTGTCTGATAAATTGTTCTAGTTAGTGGCAAGTAATATATCCAGATGATGAAAGGGGACAATAAAATAAAGGGTTAGAAATGTGTTCACTCCAGAAAGAAATGGAACACTAGTACTAACTAAAATATAGTCTTAAATCTCATAAGAGTACATAAAATAAAATTGAGTTTTATATATCACTTAACTCAAATTTATCTTCCATTTCATTTGTATAGTAATTAAACTCTTATACTCAGTAATATAAGGCACGGTAATGAACCTCTCTGGAAAATGTTAAAGTGTTCCTAAATGTACAATAACTCTTGTCCCTGTCTCATTATTTTTCCCTTCACGTACCTCTCATGTAATCATTTCGGTGATGCTGAGTTCAGTGTATGCTTAGAAAAAGTGGGCACCAATTCTGCGCCTCCGTTATTACAATAGCAAGGTGGAGAAGGTTCCCTGGTCTCCCAGAATGTCATGTTGGATGTCTTAGCTCTATAAATAGTTTGTCTTGACATTTGCATTGTATCAGCTGATCGTTATCATGCCCTAATTTTCCATTTCAGTATGTCAGTGACCTTCTATGTTAGGTACATGCCATTCAGAGATGGTCCTCCGTGGTCAGATCCTTTGCCCTTAAACAATTTATTTTTAACAGCTTTCAGCAAATCCTACCTTTTAAGCCTCCCAGTCAAGATTCTTTTCTGCTAATCTGCCCAAGCGAGGAAGAAAATAAAATCACCTCTTCAACCATGTGGTGAGAACGTTTACCAAAATGAAGAGAAATGCTTCCACTTTTGTCTAAAACATATTTTTATTCTGGATCCTCACGCATGTTATGTTTCAGGGCAGTTTTCTGAACTAAATGCTTATGTGCTCACTGAAGCGTAACCAGTTTTCTTCCTTGAGGCTGTGACCAGGAGATTAAAAGGTGTATTGATGACAGAATCAGTCTCTCCCCAGGAATAAAGTCAGAGAAGCTGTAGGCAGTGACATCTGGATGCTAGGGTGTGAAAGAAGGAAAAGGGAGAAGTGCTATCTTCAGCAGTGGAGACCTTAAGAACTGAGGTAAAGGCCCCGAGACTATTAGCTCCACAGAAGAGTTTGTCTAAGAGTTGAGTGCCTGTGGGGAAAAACCAAAATAGGGTGCCAAAAGTTATCTTCTCAGTGTGGGATCCTTTCCATAATCAATGTATTTTTTTTAACGGATGTGGCTTTAAATATTCGAAACATAGGTGATCAATAGGTCCCAAAAATGTATCAGTGGAGAGGACGGTGGATGCAACATTCCCTCAGTATAGGAAAAGGCACCACAGAAATGTGCAGCCCCGAAGTGGGCTGGCCCAGTTTGGCGGGTCTCCGTCACCTATCAGCAGCCTCACGTGAGAACGCTCTGTACTGCCTTCTGTTTCTGTTTCACCCCATTAATTGTGCTAAAGAAATACACTTGACACCTATGCTGGGTAATCTCATTTAGCCCCAATGGCTGCAAAAGTACTAACGCCATTAATTGAGGCACCTCAAACAGAGCCAAATGCTGCGCCCAGTAAAGCAATAGGCCTTTCTCTCCATTACTGGTAACAGGGCCGGTGGGAGTGTTTGTTCACGCAAGCCAAATGTGCCCCACCAAGGCAAGACATTTGAAAAGGTATGTGCTGCAATATTGCCCTTTTAGTCCCCAGGGTTTCCCTTCTCGATTCCCTTCCTCTGCTGTCTCCTGTCTTTAAGTCTCTCACAAAAGAAAATTAAGAATGCAAATGTGAACTGTAAGTTAAAATACAATTTTACAAGTGCCTCAGTAAATTTGAGCCCCTGAAAATTAAAAATTACTCAGTTGCTCATTGATAACCATCCTTGGTAACTTTCTCTGTGAGCTGATATAGTAAAGAATGGCAGGCATATGGCCCCTTGCCATGAAGTCCATCAGAGAGAAGCTTTTACACACACACAC